AAACATTATATATATATATATATATATATATATACACACACACACATATATTAGAGGTGCACCGAAATGAAAATTTTAAAACCGAAACTAAACCAAAATGAAAAATTTTAAAAAATATTTTATTTTTATTTATTTTTTAGAAACTTTTACATTTTTTATATTTTATTTTTATTTATTTAATTTTATTTTTTGCTTTACCTTTAGGGGCTTCGGGGAAATACAAGGGGTCTAAAACAGACCACTGATATTTCCCTTTTAAAATAGAAAAAGAGATTGAGAACACTCTTTTTCTGCAGACCCTGTTATAAATGAACAGGAATCTTCTATACTGAGTGTTCCTATTCATTCATAACTTGTGGACATAGTATGTTTACCTGTTTTCCTCTATAGCGCCGGCTCCTGTCACAGGTGGAGTGATATTAAATGCACTAGACGTGATGAGGAAGCAATAGTGAAAGTGCGCTTCGCTCATTCTGGCCAGCGATAGGTTAGCAAATTGCTCTTGGAAAGGTACGGCACCCCTGATCACCATATTTTTGTACATGAATAAGTGTGTATTGTTGTACATTAAAAAATATTTGATTTTTTTTCCACAGCTTGTCTACATGCACTACAGTCATAGCAAGCTGCATGTGTTTTTATAGGGCATGTTGTAATTGGTGAGGGTGCTCTCCGCACACCTTTCAGCAGTCCCGGCCAGTAGAGATGAGGTGCTTGCAGTAACTCCCACGGATGGCACCGTGTAATGCACAAAGTAGAAAGAATAGGTTACCAGCACTCAAAATGATTTCAAATAGATAAGTCCTTTTTATTGGACATACGTGTCACAATAGTCAAATGGCTATTTGACTATTGTGACACGTATGTCCAATAAAAAGGACTTATCTATTTGAAATCATTTTGAGTGCTGGTAACCTATTCTTTCTATTTTTTATAGGGCATATCTCCTAATTTTTGCTGGCTTAAATTGATTTTTTTCACAGTCTGCCCACATGCACTTCACTGATAACTGGCTGCATGTGTTGTGCACAAGGCAACTTTCCTACTTGTTGCTGGCTGCAGTTTTTCTATTTAAAATATATTTTCTTAAAAAAAAGTATAATATTTATTTGGCAATGTGCATCAGAACAGAATCTTACCTTTTTCTTTGGGAGAGCATGGGACAGGGTGATTAACAGGCAGGAGATTGTGGGAGTCAGGGACAGAGCATTGCCACTCCAAAACACAAAGTTATATCAGTATCACCAGCTCTTAAAGCTTACATTATATAAGATATTAGTGGTTAAGTTTACATCTGTTTTAACAAACTCTGCTCTAGTTTTAGTGCTGGAGTATATCTTCTATGTGCCCTGCCTTTGTGCATAGATCTGTAGACCCAAAAATTAATTTTAAGGACCAACAATAACTGATTGATGGCTTCAAAAGTAAGCACCTTAGCTACCTATTAATGTGGGGTCATTCCCTTTTTATTTTTGCATCTTTTGACAAATAAAGTGCAAAAATAGTGTGCACATAAACCAGCTCTCATTACATCACTCAGATTCATTCAACCCCGTTATCCCTATAGATAAAATTAGGCACACACTGGTTAGGCCTATTATTCCTGATTAAAACCTCTCCTGCTGCTGTCCATTTCCATTCTCTCACCTACAAGGTGTGATTTCTCATATCTATTACGTCTGCGAGGCCAGTGTTTGAGCCGGTAGCATTATCTTGCAAGGAACCCATTTTTTTTTTTTTTTCCTAGGAACAAGGTGGGGTTTAGGCCCAAGACAGTCCTTTTTCAAAATTAGTACCCAGTTTGCATTGCCATCCCTGTCAATGTTTGCTTTACCAGGGTAGGGCAGCCTTACAAGGAATAGCAATATAAATGTAGTTAGAAATGTAAACAATTGTAAATATGTAAATAATAAAATGTTTTTAAAAAACTGTATAGACCTACCAGTAAATTTGGCCTAGCCTTGCTATTTAAACCGTTCTTCTTTTGGCCAGTTTTACACTATGTCATCTATGGTCCCTTAATTTTTGCAGTAAAACTCTTGCTTGTACTCTTTCTGTAGTGCATGTTAGACAATTCAGGCAGTCCAGCTTTTTTGTCTTCTATCATGAAAAGTTTTCATTAAAAAAATGTATATGAAAACAGCCATCAGGTGTCTTTCTCACTTCGCTGCAATATTTTGATCTATTATATTAATAGAACTAGGTTGAGTTGAGTAAAACAATTTTAGTTTCTTGTGCACCTGATTTACAGGAAGTAAAACTCCAGTTAAAGGATTGCTATGCTGTTATTTGATGTTCACTAGCTAACTTGGCAGACCGTGGTAGAAAAATAACTGTATAAGCACTTGCATGTAGATCCTGGGATCAGAGGATGGACGGCTAGTGTGGAGGATCGGCACACCCGTAGTGTGTGCCCAAATCTGGTGTGCCCAAATCTGGCTGGTGTACTGCCTGGGGACGTGCATCCAAAAAGGGAGAGAAGGCTGTAAGCGAAGAGGGGGGAATGGGAACTCAGTCCGTGGCACCGCTGTGTGAGTCCGGGAGCTGAACGGTGTGAGGGAGACTCGGCGGTGTCAGATGCAGGATGAGCTGCTGTGGCCGCAGCTGTAGATAATGGTGCTCGGTCTCTGTCAGCACAGACTGGGGCAGTGTGCGGGAGTCGGTATATGGAAATGTCGGCAGTCAGTCAGATCTGTTATGGGATGAAGGTTGTAGCGGGAAAGGAGGGCGGAGGGCAACGCGTTTCAAGGTGCCTCCTCTTTTTCAAGCTCAGATAGAACGATATAGCGCTGGCGGGAAACCGCCGGTTTAAAAGTGACAGGTGGGCGGAGCCAGGAACGATAAGCGGCAATACCCTGGTTTGAAGCTAAGAACAGGGCTGCTGGTCAGTGGTTCCCGGCGGCAAAAGTCGCCGGGAGTCTGTTTAAACAGCCCCGATGCTGGCGACGTACACTGTACGTCGTCAGTCACGAAGGAAGGACAAATAGAGAAGAGCTCACTTTATTTGATTTTATTGTTATAAATAAGAGGGGGGAAAAGTCGTACATTAAAAAAGGGGGGTACTTTATTTAAAAGGGTACTTTGGTAAAAAACATTAAAAATTGTATTAAAAGAAGAAAAGGAAGTAATTAAATAAAAATCAATGAAATAAAAATGCATTGCAGGACCATTATTGTTCATTACTCATCATGGGGGACACTCTTTTATCCTTGGTCATCATGGGAGACACTGAATGGGTGGGGGACAGATGTGTTTATTCCAGTGTATTGACACTAAAAATGGTCATGAAGGGCATTGGTTTGTAATGTTTTATATTATGGTCAGAATTTCTAGTTCTTCATTGAGTCCTGTTGGAACAAGGGTGTTGAGTCTATAAATCCAAAAAGTCTCCTGTCGACACAACCTCTAAAATCGCTCTGCTGGGGAAAACTGATCAGGAATGTGTTTAATGGCGAACACGTGTAGATCCTGAATTCGTTTGCTGTGTTTTGCGGCAAAGTGTCGGGGGAACACTATGATCGCAATCACCATCGGCGATGAAGCATCTGTGTTCACCTATCCTCTTTCTTAGAGGGCGGATGGTGCGGCCGATGTATAATAAGCCGCATGAACATTTCAGCCCATAGACCACATGGTCATGCTCGCATGTGATGAATTGTTTGATGGATAACTGTTGTTGAGATGATCTGTAAATGTGGATTGTCCGTGAGTGATGAACTGACATGTGAGACATGTGGCTACTATGCACTTTTGAGGGCTAGGAGGAGAAAAAGGGCGTATTGGCAGTGTGACAATACCACCCTCAGCCTCACCTTGCACAGAGATTTTTCAGCTCATGGAACAACAGTCTAAGGCTAGCAGACTGAGAGTGATTGTCACTGGGGTTTGTTAACTCCGAAGTTAACCCTTACACACACAAACAATAGTTGCCACCATGTGTTTTAACTGGGCGGAGGATGCCCTGGTGGCTCCTTGGGACCCTTACGATCTAATTTATCGCTTTATCTGTTGCCTCGGCTGCTGCGACGGATCGCGGCCGAAGACGTCCCCGTTATCCTCATGGCTCCGGATTGGCCGCGGAGAGCGTTGTACGTGGTTCAACTGTTGGTGGGCGCTCCTTGGCGGCTGCCTCTGCGTCCGGACCTTCTGTCCCAGGGCCCTGTGTTCCATCCTTCTTTACAGTCGCTGGCTTTGATGGCGTGGCTGTTGAGAGCCAGGTCCTGAGGGACCGGGGGTTATCTGATGCGGTCATCTCCACGAGGCATAGAGCGAGCAAGGCGGTCTCCAGGAGGATCTACCACTGCACGTGGAGGGCCTATTTTGCCTGGTGCGAGGCTGGGTCCTGGTCTCCGTGCTTGTTTTCCATCAGCAAAATTCTTGCTTTCTTGCAGCGCGGGGTGGCTCAAGGGTTGGCCTTGAGCACGGTGAAGGGCCAAATTTCTGCCCTGACGGTGCTCTTCAAACGGCCCTTGGCGTCTAACGGTCTGGTCCGCACCTTTGTCCAGGGGGTTACACGTATTGCTCCCCCAGTCCATTCGCCTTTGGCTCCGTGGAATCTGAACCTGGTGCTTTCGGTGCTGCAGGAATCTCCGTTTGAGCCTCTTCGCAAGATTCCACTTCTGTCCTTGTCCCAAAAGGTGGCCTTTTTGGTGGCCATTACCTCCG